ATGGTTGTGCCACATCGCACTGGTACATGAACCTCTGGGGCAAGTTACATGCTAACCATTGAGGAGACACAGGAGCCCCTTCTCCTTCCGTTTTTGTTGCCTGGGTTTTCAGGTTTTCCTTGCACATCTTGTTTTCTTCCTGTAGGGACCAGAGAAGTAAATGTACAGCAGCAAGCCTAAGTGCTGAGCCCCAAGCTCGCGCCTAAGGACCACACTGTGCCAGAATTCAGGGTGGTTGTGAGTTACCTTGGGACACTGTGCAAGAGTCCTGACTGGCTGCAGAGGTGACTCAGGGTCAGGTTTTGATGTCTGTACAGGGCTCAGCCTTTTCTTCAGCCTTTGCTCTAGAACACTGAGGTGACAGTGGAAAGGTCTCTGCTGCCAGAAGAAAACACAATTAGAAATGGTATTTCTCTGAGATGCTAGTGGTCTGCTTTTTACCCAAGGAATAACAGCCAGGTCGTTGTGGGAAGACTGGGGGAGTCAGCCATCCTTTTTAAAAACAGCCACTCCTCCTGCCAAAACAATATTACATTGACTTCATTTTTTAAATGGGATAATACAGAAGAAGCCTGATAAAGAATGACCCCTCATAGCCCCGTGTTGTAAAAATAGCCATTGTTCATACAATGGTGCTTGTTTTCCTTTCACATTTTACATAAAAGTATGTTTTTAAATGAAATTGAGAAGATGACAGGAAACACTGATTGAAGCCATTCTGTGTTCCAGGGTTCTGTAGCTGTTTGTTTGTTACCTATTTATTCTTCACAGTGACTGGAGAATATCTGTGTGTGTGCAGAGAGAGAGAGAGAGAGAGAGAGAGAGAGAGAGAGAGAGAGGAGAACTGAGTGTCCTCATTTATTCCCCACCGTATTGACTTAAGACAGGGTCTTTTCACTAAACTTGAAGCTAGGCTAGAAACCAGGAAGCCCCAGTGACCCTCTAGTCTCCACACTATCCATGGCATGGGGGTTATATGTGTGTGCACAGACCTACCCTCCCTTTTTTTATGGCTGCTAGAGATTTGAACTCAGGTCCTCACGGTTGAACAGCAACCACTCTTACCCACTAAGTCATCTCACCTGTCCTTCTTTAAAGAATTTTTAAGTCCATTTTGCAGAGGAGAAAACTGAGTCGAGGAGAGGTTAAGTCATTTTCAGAGGCTGTATAGTTTCTAAGGAGAGTGGGAAGATGAGAGAGAGTGAAGTCTGCCCCCAGAGCCCTCGGTCTGGACTGTTCCATTACCAACTTCAGTTTGTAGTGTGCTGTATTTCCTCAAATTATACAACATTCACTTTGGTTTCTATTCCCCCATTCTAGAGATTGGGTGATAGAATTCCACATGTGTGACTTGGTTTACCCAAAAGCATTCAGCTAGTAACTATCAGTGCTGGAACAAACCCACCTTCCCTCATGCACACAGTCCATGTACAAGCTGACTGCAGGTGATCTGGCAACCTCTGACCTCCTCCCACAGACTAACTCTGAAAGCACATTGCACCACCCAAGGCCTGGTGCCAATTCCAGGATAAGCAATGGTGGGCATTGAGCAATGTATTCCTGGCCCTTGGTTATCTCTGCAATGGTCAGGCTTTATATTAAAGACCAAAATGTGCACCCCCCCTCCCAATGGTTCTGCCACTCTTCAAATGTTTTTTAACTGAGATTTGCTGCAGGCAGTAAGGCTAATTTGAGCTTTAAGTGTTGTTGGCTGTTCCCACCCCAGAGACTTGAGGACACGCCAAGCATTGTTACAACGTTAAAGTAAGGTAAAAGTCAGTCTGTCTCCTGGGAGTAAACACTGCTCTGTAGATAAGGCTGCCCCGGACCTGTAGAACCAGGCCCATTGCATTGGGACTACCTGGGTGGCTGACCAGCCCAGGAGTGTGGAGAACTGAAGAAAGATGAGCTAGTGGTGACTTACTGATGAGTTTTTCCAGGTACCCCATCAAACATTTCTCTTCAGACATAGTAGAATTGTCAAAAACAAAACAAACAAACAAAAGAATGTCAGTTGTTTTTCTATATTTATATAACTTAATTTAATCTTATCTATGAATTCTAAGAGGGCATGATCAAGTGCTTATAAGATCATAAACAGGGTTGGGCAAAAAAAAAAAAAATGACAAGAATGTTGTGTTAATAGGCCAAACCAATGGACATTGCTTGGATTCCCCTAGAGGGAAGAGTAAAGTTGCTGTGATTGACAGGGCCCAGGAGTGCTGCCTCTCTACTTTAAACTCCATGCAATTATACAAACATGTTCAGATTGTAAATGCTCATCATGATTCAGATACTGACATCTTTCCTGACTGTAAGTTATACTTCATTTAAAGATTGGAAGTCCTCATTTGGATTTCTGTATATTGTCACACAGTGATACTTAGTGAATCTATTTGGAATGATCTGGGTACTGGGAAACGGCTCTACATAAAATTGTCAGGGCTATATGGCCAGAACACTTGAGGCTCTGTTTTTTATTCTATGAACTGGAATCTTGAATGACTTCAGTGTAGACTCCTTGAAATAAAGAATGATGTCACTTTAGTTGACCAGTTGTTGACAACCCTTTGTGAATAAAGGAAGTGCTGGCCAAGGCTGGGTACAACTGTGACATCATCTCTCCTGTTTCGCTCTCCTGCAGATGACTGGTGGTTAAAGTACATGGATGAGCAATAAGAACAGGATTAAGTAGGACCACATGATAAAAGGGCAATAAGAAGGCTTGCAGAAAGAAACAGCTTCCACCGGCACTGGGAAAGCTTGGGGGAAAGAGCGTTTGAGTGGCTGTCAGAAGCATGGTAGGTTTTTGATAAGAAGTAGAAAGTCCACGGGATACTCACATTCTCCACTCATTGCTGACTGGGTCACTTAGGATCAATGGCAGGATCAATGGCATCTGTCAGATGCAACTGAGGCTTGAAAGGTGAGCTGGGGCCTTGAGTGACTGGGTGCTGTGGTTTTAATTGGGAGGTCTTAGGAAGTCACAATTGGATCAGATCAGTTATCTCCTGCAAAATTCAGTTCCCAGACTTATGGCTGTATAACCCCATGAACTGCCCTGTCTGTCTCAAATCAGCATTTGCTAGGTTTAGTGCATTTTGTTGTTGTTGTTGTTGTTCTTATTTGGACCCATTGCTGTTCCTGTTTAGTAGTGAGCCATGGGTACATAGATTTCATGAGCTCTCTGTGACCACCCTTTTGGACCCAAAGATTGCCATGTACCCGACACTCCTCTTTCCTGACCAACCAAAGCCACAGTTCCTCTGTCCTCTTCTTACAGATGTCTTGTTTTCTAGTCTCACAGTGATTTGGCATCTATTTCCTTCCAGCCTGACGTGAGTGACCCTTCATGATGCTCTTCCACCAGATAAAGCAACATGAAAGGGTCCATTTAATGGTAACTGTGTGTAGGAAGAAGGACCAAGAGAGAACACTAACTGACTTGTGCAGGTTTTATAGGAGGCTTCACCTGCTGACCTTTGCTTAATGTCAGAATTGCTTCTTCCTGATAAGGCACCAGGCAGGATTTAGGTTGGTGGCAAAGACTTCATGCTCATACTGAAAGTGGTCTGTACTGGGCCATTCAGACACTGTGGGGTTTGTCTAATTACTTACTTGCCTTTTGTTAGTAGCTTACTGGCCCCTTTACAGTGTGGGAAGGGGTAGCATCCGCCATCTCTTTCCTTGTCTTCTTTTGGGCACCATCAAGGCGTTGTTCTTATCAAAGGGATATTAACTCAACAACTGAGATTGTCCAGTTTAGATGTTATGATTGGAGACTCTACAGTGGCTCATTTTTCATCCTCTGAGGACAGTATCAGAGTAATAATGCTTGAGGTGGCTTGAATGCAAACTCTGGCTCTACAGTACTCAGTTCCTACATGTGGGTGGCTTTAGCATGATTCTTGCCTAACTCAGTAATAATAATCAAGCAAGATCCCTAGGAAAACATCAGCAAACTTAGTGCATTGTCTGGTTTTGACCTTCTAGAGCACCAGCTTCTAACCCTGACCACAATGCCCAGTGCCACTTTATAGTTCTTTGGACAACCTGTGAGTGTAAAATCGGTGTCATGCTGTTTTGGTATTATCACTGTGCTTCTCAACCTGGGGGTCGCATATCAGATCTCCTTCATATCAGATATTTACATTATGATCCACAAAGGTAGCAACATTGCAGTTATGAAGTAGCAATGAAGTAACTGTATGGTTATGAGTCACTACAACATGAGGAACTGTATTAAAGGGTCACGGCCTTAGGAAGGTTGAGAACCACTCTATTATCATCTGTTTGATTGTTTTAATCACTGTGGTTGCAGTTTGGAGTTATTTGTTTCCATACAGAGATACCGTTCTATTATTCAGTTGTCAAAGTTAATCATGCACCATACAGTTCTGTCACATCTGCTTAATAATTCTATTAGAAAAATAATTTTCTTGATAGCTGTATCTGCTAATGCTTTCTTCTTCTTCTTCTTCTTCTTCTTCTTCTTCTTCTTTTTCTTCTTCTTCTTCTTCTTCTTCTTCTTCTTCTTTTTCTTCTTCTTCTTCTTCTTCTTCTTCTTCTTCTTTTTCTTCTTCTTCTTCTTCTTCTTCTTCTTCTTCTTTTTCTTCTTCTTCTTCTTCTTCTTCTTCTTCTTCTTTTTCTTCTTCTTCTTCTTCTTCTTCTTCTTCTTCTTTTTCTTCTTCTTCTTCTTCTTCTTCTTCTTCTTCTTTTTCTTCTTCTTCTTCTTCTTCTTCTTCTTCTTCTTTTTCTTCTTCTTCTTCTTCTTCTTCTTCTTCTTCTTTTTCTTCTTCTTCTTCTTCTTCTTCTTCTTCTTCTTTTTCTTCTTCTTCTTCTTCTTCTTCTTCTTCTTCTTCTTCTTCTAACTTTTTTCTTTTTCCTTGTTTTGTTAAATGAGTGGGTTCTGAACTAGAGGAATTGCCCATAGTAAAGTAAACTGTGAGGAACAAGCCTCCCAAATTACATGGGTACTTGAGAAACCAGAACTGACTGGGTTCCTCATTCCATTATGCGTTTTCTACCCTGGAAACTGACAGCCACCACATACAGATGGCAAACTGGAGGTAGGATTTCACACCTAGGCAGTGTACAGCACACACAGTTCGAGGTAGGAACTGGGACGACAAGCCTTCTTAAACTTAGGAGGATATTACAGAGTGTTCATCCCGTGACTCAAGCAGTCGGACAATCTAGGACTTACCGTACGTGCCACATGTGCTTGAACAAGTTTCGTCACACTGAAGGTCTCATTTGCTTCAGGTGTCAATGTGTGTGTTTCTCGTGTTCCTTCAGGTAGAACGTCATGACATGAATACCCTCAGCCTACCCCTGAACATACGCCGAGGAGGGTCAGACACCAACCTCAACTTCGACGTTCCAGATGGCATCCTGGACTTCCACAAGGTCAAACCCAATGCAGACAGCCTGAAACAAAAAATCCTAAAGGTGACAGAGCAGATAAAAATCGAGCAGACATCCCGTGATGGGAACGTTGCCGAGTATCTGAAGCTTGTCAGCAGTGCTGACAAGCAGCAGGCTGGGCGCATCAAGCAGGTGTTTGAGAAGAAGAATCAGAAGTCAGCACACTCGATCGCCCAGCTACAGAAGAAGCTGGAGCAGTACCACAGAAAGCTGAGGGAGATTGAACAGAACGGAGCCTCTCGAAGCGCAAAGGACATTTCTAAAGACAGCCTGAAGGAAATACACCACTCTCTGAAGGATGCCCACGTTAAATCTAGAACTGCTCCCCACTGCCTGGAGAGCAGTAAGTCAAGCATGCCAGGGGTATCACTCACGCCCCCAGTGTTTGTCTTCAATAAGTCCAGAGAGTTTGCCAACTTGATCCGGAATAAGTTTGGCAGTGCCGACAACATCGCTCACTTGAAAAATTCCCTGGAAGAGTTCAGGCCCGAGTCCAGCACCAGGGCTTATGGGGGCAGCGCTACCATCGTGAACAAACCCAAGTATGGCAGCGATGATGAGTGTTCTAGTGGCACGTCAGGCTCAGCAGACAGCAACGGGAACCAGTCCTTTGGGGCTGGTGGGGCTAGCACACTGGACAGCCAGGGGAAGATTGCCATGATCCTAGAGGAACTGAGGGAGATCAAGGACACCCAAACTCATCTGGCAGAGGACATTGAGGCCCTGAAGGTGCAGTTTAAGAGAGAATATGGCTTCATCTCTCAGACTCTGCAAGAGGAGCGTTACAGGTATGTACACCAACATATCACACTGGGATTCCTTTAGAACCATGAGTTACCAGCCAGAGAGGCTGTCTGCCTAAAAGTCATGTGCTAATGAATGTGTTTGCAATAAATATGGATATGGATACAGGGGCATTTAAAATTGATAATTCTTTCCATCCTTCATAACTCTAGGCTCCATAATTTCTGGCTTATGGCTGACAGAGGAAGACATTACATGTCTGGGTCTTAAAACATCATTATCCAAGCTGGGACTCACATGCATATTAAGGCATTGATTTATCAGACTTTTGAGATGGTCTTATTACACTAATTTAGAAACCTGTTTCCATAATACCAGACAAGTGAACTTAATTCACTGGACAACGGGGTAGCGTTTTATGTGGTATATCAGCTTGAAATATACATATTTTGTTCACTAAACTTGTTTTTTAGCCTTACATAGACTAGAGGGATGGTTCAGTGTATAAAGTACTTGCCATGCAAGAATGAAGACAAAAGTCCAGAAACAGAGCACCCATGTAAAAGCTGAGCCTGGCAGTGTAGATCTGTAAGCCCAGCACTGGGGGCAATAGAGAGCAGTGCAGGTCTGTAAGCCCAACACAGGGGGCAGTAGAGAGCAGTGCTGGTCTGTAAACCTAACACAGGGGGCAGTAGAGAGCAGTGCAGGTCTGTAAACCCAACACAGGGGCCAGTAGAGAGCAGTGCAGGTCTGTAAACCCAACACAGGGGGCAGTAGAGAGCAGTGCAGGTCTGTAAACCCAACACAGGGGGCAGTAGAGATGGGGAGATCCCTGGACTTGCTGGCCAGCCAGCCTAGCCAGGTTCAGTGAGAGAACCTGAAAATAAGGTGGAGAACGGCTAAGGAAAACAACTGGCATCAGCCTCTGGCCTCAGAACACACCCACAGAACAAATATAAATATGTTCATACAGGTAACCTCCCCCCCCCACACACACAAGCATTTTACTGTAAATGAGTGGTTTTCAAACACCATCTTGAGATTAATATACTAACCCAAATCTTTTGGGGTCTCTCAGCTGTTTGTAGAGGTACATTTTTTGGAAGCTTGGCATTTATACGTTTACTGCTTCTTAATAAAGAGTGTAGATAACCAAATACAAGATTTGACCCATTTGATAAAAACATCACCCCAAAGTCCTTCAGTCAAAATGGGTTAATTTGTCGGAATGTAAAGTAGATTGTGAATGTTTATTATATAGTATAACATTTAAATTATAAGTTTAACTTTCACACTTGATGTATAATTTTATGTCATAATTTAGAATGTGGCTCTTTTCCCAAGATTATGCAACTTCATTAAGATATCAAGATTTGAACCCAGGCCTCATGTGTCTTAAGTGTGTGCTGTACCACTGAGACATATATCCAGCCCCAAAACCAATTTTTTATCATTTTTTTATTTGAATTAGAAACGAGAGTGATTTTTTTAACTTTACGTGTGCATCTTTGATTTCAGTGTGCTTATTGTACAAGCCACGGCTTTCCGAGAATGCACTGACCTTAATTTCATCCACATGCTTGAGATGTAGTATGTTTTAGATGCATGTCTTATCCCAAATCACAAACAGTCACTTGTAGCCAGGTGTTGGTGGCGCATGCCTTTAATGCCAACACTCAGGAGGCAGAGGCAAGTGGATTTCTGTGAGTTCCAAGCCAGCCTGGTCTCTAGAGTGAGTGCCAGGATAGGCTCCAAAGCTACACAAAGAAAACCTGTCTTGAAAAACCAAA